GAAACGATATAATTTTCAGTTTTTATATACATTATGTTATTTCACAAGTTACATAATTAACACAATTATAAGAAATTTGAATCAATCTATCGATTAGCTCATTCCTCACGATTTTTTTAACAAGTTTGTAAAAAGCATCATTTTGAATAATTTTTTTCTTATACATAATCGGCGATCGATTTTAGTTTTTAAGTTATTTGTAAAAAATTTTTGATACTATAAGTAAATGTATGTCCGTGTATGAAATTGCCACTTAAGCATGGTTAATAACATGTTTATGTATAATGGATGAATTTATTGAAAATTTATCTGCTTATGAATTTGAACGATATGTTTTTTAAAATTTTATGAATAAAGATTATATATTTGCAGAATATTTTTGAAATATCGATTTTAAAAGCCAAAATATAAGCACAAAAATTAATTCAATACTTATAACTTATTTATTAAATTATAAATAATTTTGATTCACGTTACATGAAACGAGAAATATGCGAAGAATGCGATGATAATATAATGAATATAAATCTGTTTTATTCTAGCTGTATCTCACCTAAATTGTTTATACTTTAATAAATAAACTTTAATTGACATTTTATATAAGCTTTGTATTTTCTTTTTGGCATCTAAAATCAAAAATTTTCCATCAATATATTATTATACTTATATAACAAGAAAACTAATTCAATTATTTTAATTTAAGTCGCCCAGGATTTTATATTTTCTTTTTACATTTTGCGGATTCGAAAAAGTTGATAAGAATAGATATGGATGCTAAATTATTCATTATTTAGTTATTATTTATCACTTATTAGTCATAGTTTATATAATTGATGATTACATATGATGCTGCAAACATATATTCAATGCAAAATTTAATGTAATAATATAAAAAAATTTTTCGAATATTAAAATCGAAATTAAAGTTATATAAATCATCAGTTATATAAAACAAAATATTTAAAATATTATCTACAATATATATCAATAAAATGAATTTTATCATTTAATGAAATTTTGTTATTAAAATCAATAAAAATATTAAATATTAAAAATATTAAATTAAAATCAATAAATTTTTTGATGACTTTTCTTTAGAATTTTACTAGTTTTTTTTTGGAGATTTTATTAGATAATGTAACCTAATCCAAACTTTAATTTAAGTTCAAATTTAACATCATAATGTAAATAAAATCAAGATCATTCAAATTATTTAATTGTTATCTAATTTATTATGTATCTATGACTTTAAGATCAATTTTCAATAATTATAATAATAATGTATTAACTACAGAAATGAATTTAATTTTCCAACAAATTTCGTTTTCTTGCAAAATTATAAACTAAAGTAAAAGTATTATTTCATTTTTACGAATTTTTCTAATAATTTTTTTAGTAATCATGATTAATAAAAACCATAATTATAAGGGAAACTGAGACTAATATCTTTTATATATTAAGAATATATATTAAAGTATAATTAATTAATAATGTATATTAAAAAATATAAGTAAAATATAAAATATGTAATGAATAAAGTCAAAATGATCGAAATTCTTTTTTAAATATATATTTTTTATAACACATAATTATTAATATTATAATTTTTAATTTAGATTTAAGATAATTTTCTGTATAATCTAATTTTTGCAAATTCAATATTATCAAAGAGTTAAAAAAATTATTTTATTATTTCATCTGTATAATAATATTTTAGAATTTAGTGTATTTCATAAATTTTCTATCAGATTTAAATCTAATCATTCAAATAGTTTAATATTGATTTTGATGAATTTGATGAATTTGATGAATTTGAATCTTAAAAAAATTTTTTGTCATTATCTTATTATAAAGAATCTTCAAGCCTCAGTTTTACCATTGTTTTTTTTTTAAATTTTCGTTTATTATACGAATGTATTTCTTTGCATATATTATTTAATATTTGTAAGTATTAATATTTCAATGCTATTGTATAAAAAGAATTCTCACATCATTAACAATCCAACTTTTAACTTAACTATTAATTAAACTTAAAATTAAACTATTCGTACAATAAATAGTTTCTTGAATTCTTCATTAGATTTTTTTCGTATAGCTCCAATTCATTTATAGAATTATGATACATAGTAATAAAATTGATTTATTATAAAATTCAGTTACAAAGTTAGCAATTTTATACTTTAAACGATCAAAAACAAAGTCTATATGAAAATTTATATTAATTTATTACTGAATGAATATTCATTGTTCAAAAAATAAATTCAAATTCAAAGTTTTAAAAGTTTTATTAAATTGTTAAGTTTATTTAAAATTGATTTTAATCCAGACTATTCAATTAATTCAAATAGTTTAATAGTTCAAAGCATTCTAACATTTTAAAGATTAGATAGTAATGAAAATATTCTAGTTCAAAAGTTAGAATTGTTTTTTAGAATTTGGATTGTTCAATGGTTCGATTAACTCAAAGATATAAAATATTTTGATTTTTTTTCGAATTTTACAACGCTCATCAGAGATCTCCTCTATGTTTATCTCAGAAGATCGTGGATCGATGAGGCATATAACAGCTAAAGTCTTACCAGTCCCTTAGTTGTATGACATCTCCAACTTAAGAAAAATTTCTGAACTTAGATAACTATGCTACTTACAGAATCTACTATTCCTAGAAAAACTGATCCGCGAGTGTTTGTAAATTTTTTTGAATGTAGGATGGTGCTGATTGCTGTTGAGATTAAGAATTGGAAAATATTATCTCAAAATCCAGCCACGCTGAAGTATTTCTAAGAAATATACAAATCCAAAAGTTTTTTAAAAAAATAGTATATTTTCTCACGCAATATCATCTTATATATTCTTTTTCTTAAATATTTAACATGTTGCCCATCATGAATATATAGCATTCAATTATATATACAAGTACAATTGACAATATATGAAACAATATAATACATATAAAATTATAAAATATAAAATCAAAATTAAACAAGTTTATAAATTATATTGATTGAAATTGATTAATGTTGATAGAATAATCATTTAAATCACATGCAATAGAATTGTTCATTAGAATTTAAAAATATATAAATTGATAAAGAACATAATTGTTAAATATAATATGTACTTAAATCCTATATATATATATATATATATATAATTATATATATAATTATATTAATAATTGTCCATGTAATGTAACATTGAGCGTAACATTGAGTTAAACTGTCATTTCTGTATCTTAGACTATGAGATATCTTCGTCTAACGCTAGAATGCAGATTTTGATCTTTTGATTGTTTCATCTACCGTTGCTATTCTGGCAAATTTATCTTTTCCAAAATGTAATTCCAAATTTCACTTTAGCTGCCATTGCAGTAGGACAAAGTTCCTAATAAATCAATGGACTATCCAAATTTGTCAGCTATTGTCTACGCCATTTATTTTATTTCTATAATTGTAATGCAAATACTTATTCTGTCACCGTTTTCAAAAATGTTTAAAAACATTCTGCTGAATCATTTGAAATCTATTCAATCTGTTTCTTATTAGATCATGCAAGTCAGATTCAAGGATCACACATAAAAAATCAACAATTATAGCAAACCAGACTTCAAAATATCAAAAGAGTCAAATCATCGAGATCACATAATAATGGATTTAGAGGGAGGAAATTAAAAACTATTGTATTAACAATACATAATTCATATATTGTATATTAATAAAATATTCCCGATAATTCATTTTAAATCTGATTTCGACAATTGATGCTCTCCTAATATGAAGAAGAATCATATACAAGGATTATGTTTTCTTGTTTATGAAAAATTGTGCAATCTTTGAATTTTTTATCTGAGATAAGCTTTTTAAATTCAATTAATTTATTTTGTGTCGCGACAAAATTAGTCCAGTTATCTAAATAAATATTTTGGAATAATTCTCGACAATTCGTGCAATAAATCTTTTTAAATAGTTGAGAAATATATCTGCAGAGATACCAATGATTAATATTAATTTTTGTAAAATATAAACAAATATAACTTTTCAATATTGATCTTAATTCTGTCTTTAACTAAGTGTAACTCTGTGTAGACCACACAGTAAGTAGAATTAGCAAGTAAAAAAAAATCATACAGAAATGTGCCGATGGCAGCTTTATTTGCATTCCTATTTTAATTTTCATTTGGAAGCATTTTTAAAAACTGTTCAAATAATAACTTTTCAAAATTGTTCATGAGGAAAAATCGTTTGACAATGAATGTAAGTTTTTAGTATCGTCTAATGGAAAAAGTCCAGATATGTTTAGAAATTGATATAATAATTGTAGTATGTTGTGATTAATTCTTTATATTCGTGATAGATATAATAAATGCTTGAAAAGATTTAAAAAAAATTCCATTTTTTTTTGCTATTGATTCTAATATTGAAAGATTATAGTTACATTGTTTCACAAAAAATTCCGTTATGTGTGATCACTTGAGTTCTGAAATAACAATGCTAATACTACACGTTTTATTATATAGCTATTGCTATTGGTCCAATTTTGATAAAGAAAGATTTCGAAGAATCATGTCATTTTAGTTCCAATTTATGAGACATGATTCCTTTTATTGTTTTTGTAATGATTTCCATTGCGACAATAATTCGACAAATCTAAACATTTATCTAAATCTTCTGAGTTTTTTTTTTATTGAAATTTATTTTTTTAAAAGAAATCTTTCCGATGAAACTTTCATGCTTGTTACGAGTACTATATTTTACATAATAATTTCTTGACTGCATCTATTGAATTTCAGTTGTCCAATTGCTGTTTCAATTGTTTTGTTTTTTTGTTAGATCGTCAAAATGTTTATTAATGCGTTGCTGATATGAATGTGTTTCTGATTATGTACTGTGCAGTGAAATTATTCATATATTGAAAATTCCAAAATAATTTTGCATTAATAATCATATCTCTTCTGTTGAATATATTGAAATCTAGATAATATCAGAGTCTCATTCAGTTTTTGATACTGATATGATATTTAGATTTCTCAATGATTTTAGAATAAAATAAGGCATAAGATGGCGAAGAAAAGCTTTACGTGCTCGATGCTATTTCTACACATGTGCTATATGGTACTCTGTGAATTCTGAAAATTCCCATAATGTATGTATCCAAATCCGTACAAGGCAAGCCTTACTATTGCCATTCAAATGATATTTTTTGTCTGTTGTAAAAATAAAAAACTTAAAAAATAATATTTTTTATTAATAAAAAAATATACAAAAATATAGACATTATGTATAAGATATACATATTTAAATTATTGAAAACAATAAATTTAGAAATAAATGAATAATTTACAAACAAATTTTGCTTATTTCAACGAAAATCCAAAATAATAACCGATACAAATATTATAATGTAGAAAGCGATAATCTCTTTACTTATAATATACAACTTCAAAATTCTTCCTCGAGTTAACATTTTTACCAGCTCTTTCATCCTTTTTACATTCTTCATTCCATCGTTTTTTCCCCTTGCCTCGTTCGTTTCTTCGAAGAAAGGCACGTGGCGACCGTGAGTAGCAAGGAACGTTTTCGCCTAGAGGCCGTAGCTACAGAGGGGATGAATCTGCTTTAATTTTAGCCATACTCTTCCAACCATGCCATAAGCAGACCATGGTATGCACGGTGGTGCTCTCGGCAGCAGCCTTGGCATCGCAGACGCATTATTCATACCTTAATGAATTCTCTGCCGGCTCCCTCTTCCCATCCTTCGATCTCCTCTGCTCGCCCTTTCGTCCGGATCCGCATTGCTCCCGCGTTTCCATTTTCGCAAGAAACTATGAAAGTTATCTCTCTTTCTATTTTTACAATAATCCTTGTTGGTTGTGGCATTCCTTTTAATCGTCATGTAATTTCGCAATTATACATTCGCTCTTTATTTTTTTCTATTTTTTTTCTATGGTTCATCGTTCATCACTAATTTTCTTTACTCGCGATCTCTTTGTATTGCAATAAGGGATATGTATTATTGCGAGATGAAAAGTTTCGGAATGTTTAAATTGTCGTCATTATTCTTCTTTCATCACTACTAAAAAATAATATATTTCGAAAAAACTTGAATATTCTCGAATATATTTACGTTTTACGCAAAAAGAGTAGAATACATTGATCCAAATTTATTCCTCTTTCCGAATAATAATATCGGTTCATGCGTAGAGTATATCGAGTTATACGCGATAGGACATTGTATTCAGAAATGCTAACATCACCGTGAATCCCGACGATGTTATATGTCATGTAAAGACCGACAACCAAAAGCGTCATCATCTCTGCTTACTGTCTTCTATTTCTGCTAACTCAAGTTCAAGGTGCTTATACCAAGATCAGATGTAACTATTAACATAATATTAGATTAGGTAAAATATTCTTCCTTATATTTTACCTAATCTTTAATCTTATGAAATTATTATAAAAAAATAGCAATCTTTTATTTATTATAAATTATAATAAATATGTTTTATGCGAAAAAAATCAAATTTTTTAACTACTTATAATTAAAATTTTAATATTTTTTAAGAAATAATTGATAAATTTATTAAAAACGTTTTAAATATCCTAAAACGTTTTAATTCAAAATAATAATGATAACAATGGAATTAAAAAAAAAATAAATTCCATTTAAGAAAAATTTCACACGTTGTGATTGATGAAATATTTATTTTGGGCAATTTCTGGAATCTAGAATTTGAATAATAATAATTTTTCAAGAAAATTAACTCTTTTAATTATTTTATTATATAAACTTTCGTGATAATTTAAATTCATTTAGTTTCAATTTTATATAAATATATTTAATGAAATTATCTTGTCATTTTTTTAATTTTAATCATATATAGAGATAAGTAAGATTTTTCAAAATTATACAATTAATAAATTAATAAATTAAATATATATATATTATGTAATACTTATTTTTGTATTTTCAGTTATTGTAAAATTTATTTCAAAGGTTTCAGCATATTTGAATTACTTTTGATCACGAATTGCAGATGATAATTGTAGAAAGTTACACTAATCAATTTTCGGTTTAAAAATTATAATAAAAATTCTATTATCATGAGATTAATATTACAATGCATTTTTGGATTTCTTCTTTCTCTTCACAATTCTTCTCATACTGTATTTATTTCAGTTCGAAATAAATCTAAAACTTTTAATTGCTACTTCTGAATATTTTTCAAACTTTCAAGAGTTGTTTTGTACAATGTCTGCCGATCACGCATCGCCGCTCTATGCAACTTGTTCTCTATGAACATTAAAAGCAAACACGTGTTCATAAATACACGTCGCGCATATTGCGTTGCAATAATTTTCATATAAAAACCAGCTTTGAATTTGACCAAACTCATAACAAAAAGGAAGAATCTTTGTGCAAATTGTTCATTGCACTTTCGTTTTGTTCTTTCCTTGATTTGTCGTGTATGACGTATTGAATTTTAAATTTTAGCATTTCTATTTTGATCATCATATTATTTGCACTTTAGTCATCATTATTAAAATAAATTAACTTGGTCATGCGAATGCTTTGGATTAGATTTTTCTAAAAATGTGAATATTTTTAAGAAATATTTGTTATATTTTAAAAAATATAACAACATAGTTACAAAATTCATGAATAAAGAAAATTTAAAAATTTATTTAGTTTAATTTACATATCAAAAACAATTCGTATTAATTAATATTATATTAATAATAAATTATTAATTAATATAATAATAATAATAATTATTATATTATTTCCATAGAAAGTGTAAAGAGAAATTTATAAAATGACTGAAAAATGAATCTTTTAGTTATGATTTAAAAAATTTAATTTTCATATTATAAATATTAATTACAAAATATGTTTTATAAATATATTTAATTGCCAGAATAAGCTTTTTGTTGATGATATTACTATTACTTATGTTATTATTTAACTGACTTAATTAATTTGAAATGATAAAATAGAAGCATTGTTAGATATGAATTCGAAAATACGATCTCATAATGAGATGAACAATGAATATAAATAAAATATTAATAAATTATTTGAAAACAAATAAGGTTTTTTCTATATTTAAATATTTTTAAAATCAATAACATTTACATTTAATTAAAAAATTGAAATTTTGCAATTAATCATTATTTTTCAAAAACTAATTTCTTTTAATTTTTTGAATAAGAAATTTGAAATAAAAGTGTACATTCATCTTGTTTTATTTTTTTTACATCTCGAGACAAAACAGATGATACATTCTGTACATTTCAATATAAATGTTACTCGGGCATATTAAATCCACGTTTCATGAATACAAAAATTCTTCTTTAAAATTTTATTTGTATTTCGTACCAACCTCATCTTCACAAACTAAACTTTATAGTCGACAAAATAGTTGCACATATTTTCTAAATCATATTTGTTCTATGTAATTTAATGAAGAATTCCCTTGATTTTTAATAAAGAATGAAATTTTGAAAAATAAGTTCAATAATTTCACAATAATCACATTTAAATTAAATCTTCGAAGTATTGCGTATAGATAAAAATAAAATCCACTGGAATGATCATAAACGAACACATGCAACAGGTAATAAAAGGAGAGAGAAAAAGATTAAGTGAAAGTGTTTAATCAAAAATACAAAAGAATGCATATTAAAGTGTTTAAATATTCCCGAACTGAAAAATTTCTTTCTCATGAAAGATAGTGTTCAAATGATACATCGTTTGCTGCTCTATCTTTCTTCTTTTATCGATCGGCTATTTCTATATAGATACTGTTTTAGATATTGCGCTTATACAATGCATATCTATGCATTGCAATATTGCATTTGGATATTGTGCTTTCTATTAACGCAATTTATTGGGTTTAATTTAATTTAAAATTAATTTAATTGGTGCATCCCAAGTCGACAGATTAATGTTTGTGAAAACATTACAATGCATTTATGTGATCAGGCATTTATAGATAAGGAATTTATAATGATATTATTCTTTCATCTTTTTAATCTTCTTGCCATTTCTGGTTTTACATTCGATAAGATTTATGATAAGATATATGAAGATCCCACTAGCGCCAGATCCTCATGATGCCATTCATTTTTTGATCGTAATGACGATTTACGATGAATGTGTTCTAGTTATCTTTTTTTCCCCTTTTAATGTTTAATTCATTTATCCAATGCGTTGTTTCGTTCGTTGATGATAGAATGAATGGTGGAATATATTAAAATCGCTATGCTAATTTCATATGAAAAACAGGAATTGTGATTGAAAATGTAGAAAATTTTGAAGAGGAGTGATTATTTGTGCATAAATGTTTTTCTAAAGTTGGTATTAACAAGAATTTTTAATCCAAAAAAATAGTTGACAATAAGAAAGCACATATATCTTTCCTAACATGAGAATCATTTAATAATGAATATCTGAATGGGGATGTTACATTGAAGAAATAAATTACTTAACCTTCGGATATACTTACCATTCAAATGTCAACCAATGTCTGAACATAGTTTCATCCGCCCCAGGCTGCTCAACGTTCTGCATTAAAAGGATGACATCATCGATGAGGAAAGAGCAGTACGAGCTGCTTATCGAAACGATGAGAAGTTCTAGCGGACTCCTTGACCGAAATGGAGAATCGAGTTAAATCAATCTTTAAAAGGTGATCCGTTATCAAATTTTTTATTTCAAATTATTTCATTCAAATTATCGAAGCATACATAATGCGTGGCGAAAAATATTTGAACTGTAAATGTAAATATCCATATTTTTATTTGTGAATCACGAAAATTGAAAGCAACGTCGACACAATTATTACGTTTTTTCTTCAACAGTTTCTATTTTATTACATTTTCTGAATATTTTCTTTTTAGTTGACAAACATATTTTCACATCGGATAAATAATCATTTATAATGAAACTAAAATTTTTCGATAATTTATTAATATTCTCTCATATTCGTATTCTTCGTATTCTTTTAAAGTAATTGTTAACTTTAAGCGATCGATTATTTTTATATTATGAATTTTTAAATACATATTGACGGGAATATATGTTGTATTAATTAAGCTTTCTATTCATATAAATTTTATTATAAAATAACAATTAACAATAATAACAAATAAATAAATAAATTTAAATAAACTATTACAAAATCAACATCTTACAACGTGTTATTCATATTATAGAAATTTTATGAATATAAAATTAAAATATTTATGCAGTTTATCTCGAATGACATTTCTATTTTTTGTGATATGTATTACATTAGTATACAATTAGCATTATTAATAATAATATTGAAAATGAGTGATAAAAATATCAAAGTTCCAGATAGAAAGAAAAGTAATATATAAATGGCATAAAATATATAATGACATTGTATCAAATTCATATTCAAATTTATCAAAAATATCATAACAAATTATAAATTTAATAGAAATAAATCAATAATTTAATATTTACAAAAAACAAAATTAAATAGATTTCATCATGTTTTATCGTACAAAATATTATTATTAAAATATTAAAATATTAGATGTAAAAGCGGTCCAATAAATGGAAAGCTTAATTAATATAATATATTATATCCTTATTAATATGCATTTAGAAATTTATAATATAAAAAAAAAATCGATTGCTTAAAGTTAATGATTGAACGAATACGAATACGAGATTCATTGTATTTGAAAACGTGAAACAATTCTTTTTTTATTGTGTAGATTTAAGAGTTTGCCCCTAGAAAGAATGCAGATCTAATTAGTTGAAACAGCCAGCTATTCCTTTGTTTTAATTTGATGCGATATTATGTTATATATATTTTTTCTATTAACAATAGGGATTGCATTTACTAATTCGAAAAAAAGAGAATGGGAATTATCAAAATTGAATAAGATAAAGAGATATATGAACAAGTGACTTCAAATATTGTCAAAAGTATCATAAAATGGAAATAGACGGATTGAATGAAAGTTACATACTCTTTTGTCAAGTTATATAGTTATGTTGTTCCAAACATGTTCCATTTCTGAGTTCAACATAGCATGTAACTTTGTTATATTTATAATATGTAATATATTTATAAATTTTTAATTTTGTTACATAGAATTATTTTAATAGTAATTTTAAACTTTAATTTTTTAAATATTTGAAATGCGAGTAATAAGAATAGAGAGGTACAATTATAAAAATTTACATAATCGGTTAATATAACATATATTTTCATCACTGTAATATCTTTTTCATTTTAATTCGGATTACGAATTTATTATTGATTGGTGGAATATATTTGAATACATTCATGAGTTACGAATACATATGATTATTTCATCTTTATTTTAGATTTTGATCGATATATCGATATTAATATTATGAAAAGAAAATTCAATTGAAATTGTACGATTCACTGTACTTCGATAATTCAACTATAATATTAAACTATATATAAAACTACATAGAATATATCAATATGAAGAATACGCCTGTTCATAAATTCATATTTAATAAACGATTAATATATATTTTATAATAATTATTATAAATTCTATACAAATATTTATTTAATAATATTTATTAGTATTAAATTGCATAATATCTAATAACATTTAATTTTTTTAAATCCTTTAAACAATTTAAAATTTATACATTTGCAGTGTTATAGGATTATTTACAATATGATTTATAAACAAATAGAATATGAAAATTATTAAAAAACTAAAAGTTTCTTACTGTTATTATTTACATTATTATTTAAATCTTTTTATTATTATTTGTGGGATAAAAAAGAGTGGGAGAGAGAGAGAGAGAAATCGAGTATTTAATTAAAACATATTTTCTATAATAATACAAAATAAATATATCAAATGATATTTATTAATTCATAACTATTTTAATAATTGCTTTAATTAAGATATTTATATTTTTACTTGTACTTTTACTATAACAAAATTGAAGAGATATTTTTGTGACGAGAAACCGATTTATAGTTTCGATTCTCTTTGGCGCAAATTCATGGGAAGAAACAAGAGGACATAACCGTTTTCTTGAAAAGAGAATCGTAACTGAAGTGATATATCGCTTGTATTTAGATCGCGCGAATTCTTGGGTTCGTCACGCAAAAAGACACGAATGCGTGCACAAATTTGTGGATTCCTTTTGCATGCGTGCAATTGCTCATTTTTTTTTGTTCTAGCTGTAAATTTCTGTGTTTTTCACTTTTGTAATTCTTGCCATGTTTTTTTGTTCATCTTTCTTTTTCAAGGAAAGTGAACAAAATATGACCTAAATTATTCTTACCAGGGCAGCATTAAAATTATTCTTCGTGTTTGTGATGAGATCCGAGAATAAATGAAACATCACGAAATACTTTATGCGCTTTTTTTCGCATGTTGTTTAACAGTCATGGTTAATCATTGATGATGATTCAATTAGTTGATGCAGTGATTCACCAGTCGTTCAAGCATTGGTATACTCATTTCCGGTGCGACGCTGCGTTTCTAGTTGCGAAGTTCCCTAAAGATATTACCTGTACTCATAAGTACGTATTATTCATACGTATTAGGAAATGATTTGTACAAAGTAATTTAGATAGAATTAAGCAATTTTTTTAAAAAAAGATATATTTATAAAGATAGATTTATAGAATTTTTTTTAATAATCCATAATATGTAATATATTTAATATGTAATATATTTATGTTACAATTATTATATCTTTATTACGTTATTTAGAATTCATACTTATTATATAAATATATATAAAATATCATTTTAAAGCTTAGATTTTATTGTATGAATTAAATTGTTATTAGTTTAATTTAATAAAATTATAATGGAAAAAAAATTAAATGGAACACTAAGAATTATTAAAGTATGTTGTGAAATAATTATTGATATAATATACAGATATAATGGTATGATACCATTTTTAATTTTGAAATAATATTTATTATTATCAAAATTAAAAAAAATTATTTTAACTAAAACTCTAAATAACTTTGAACATCATATTACATAAAACGTAATATATTTCCTAAAAAATATTTTATTATTATAACTAAAATTTCAAACATAATTTACTTCATAATTTAAATAAATGTCTATTTCAAAAATTTTTTCGATTTATCATAATCTTTTTTTGTTTCGAAATATGTATAATATTCTTATAAAATCATTTTAAATAAGTTTAAAAATTCAATATATTTTCTTATTCTTCAGATAAACAAATTTAGATCTTATAAATTATCGCACAAAAAGCCAATATTTACTTGTTTAAAAGATTTGTCAAAACACTACACTACGAAACATTTGCCTCCTAACGAATTTTTCAATCTCAACAGTCCGATTTCAAGGAAATCGTTTGTTATGTATTATGTTTAAAGTAAAATAATTGGAAAAAAAAAAACCATTTTAATTTCAGACTTTGCATTTCATCAAATAATAATATGTTCCGTGTATTCTTGATTTTTATTTGTGATTTTATTGTGGACATTTTTCAAATGGTTCATCATATCCACATATCACGATCTCTGGTCATTGGGTCATTGGACTGCGACATACTTTCTAATCAAAAATATCGGTTTTAGAAAATGATTATGTTCTAGATTACTTCTTTTTTAAGTTATGCGAAAACATAACATAATCGAGTTCAATTCGTTCCCTTTTCGTATATTGCCAACTCATGAGTATATATTTGGCCAAAGCATGTAATTTAATACTTTTTGAACAATAATCAACCGCGATTCTGTTTCCTTGAATTGCAGGGTATGTGAATTTTTGCGCATAGGAATTGGTTGGCATGCAAGAATTCGTAGAAATAAATGGATATGGAAACTGGCAAAGTTGACCAAAGATAGGAAGTTTGGAGTAAAAATTGAAAAGAAAAAAGAGATATAATCATAAGAAAAGACAAAAGTTGGTATTAATTAAAAAAGAAGAAAGTTAGAAATGAAAAATAAGGAAATTAATTAAAAAAAGATGAAAAAATATATAGTAATAGAGAATAGAAAAGAATAATAGTATTAGTATAAATTTAATGAAAAATCAAAATAGAGAAAAAACTAGAGTTATTTTGGTTGGTTATCAAAATTGGTCAAAATATGGTGAAGAAATAATGATTGCAAGAGATAACACTACAGAACGCAAAAAATAGAGAATCGCTTGGCATTATCATTGCTAATGAATATTCAATTTTGATTTAGCGGATTTAGATCGATGTCTTGACTTTAGTTGTAAGTCTCGTGATAATTATTGTAATTATTCATTTTGATCCGCTTGTTTTATTACCTATTTTTTTCAATTCGATTATGTTTTTATCTTCATCTGTGTACATTTCATTTCAAATTTTTATAGAAATAAATAATTATTCGTTGTATTGTTTTCATTTCATATGATTTCAAATGTACTATATTAAATGGTATTCATATTGATAGAAGTAGTTCTCGATCTGATAATGGCACCTTTTTTCATTCTGCATCTTGTATATGATATGTTTATAGCGGCGAGATAAGTATCGCAGGAAAGAACCAATATTATTCAAAATGTTTATAATGAAGCGATGAGGAGAATTGCGAAGAAAACAGTATATAAATACTATACATTATTGTATAAATACTATAAGTTATCGAACGGTGTAAACAATAAATCACTTGCTCTATCAAATATAACATATATTGACATATATTATTGGTAATATATAAGAGATGTAATGAATTCAGTCAATTATAAGAATGTGTGTAATTTGACTTATATGTTTGTACAGGTATATCTTGTTAAATCTTATATTTTTCAGGATGCCAATTTAAATTTATTTTATTGATTAATTTTATAGTCAACACTTCCTTTGAATTCCTTTTTCGTAATAAACACACTTAATATTTTTCTGTGTTTGGACGGAACATCAACTGAAACACTCCGTATAATATCCCACATTAATGATATTTAAACTTATAAATTTTTTTATATTTAAATCTAAAAATTTTAATAAAATTTTTTTATTATGATAAATATATTAAACTATTAAAAATATTACAAAAATTTACAATTATAGAAAAAAACTAACATAAAAGAAAAAATTTTTTGATTCTTCGAAGAAGGTTTAATTATTTAAAGAATAAATATATTTAAAAATCTACGTCATTTTTTTTTCTGTTAGAAATATCAAATATAAAATCATAAATATTATTACAATATTGATTTTATGAATATTCTAATTTAATAACTAGTAAGATTTTATATTACTATTTTTCTCTATAATAAAAAAAAAAATAAATTTACGGATCAATTTTCCAAATAAATGATCATAATAATTAATAAGGCCAATTGAATAATTCATCGCAGAAATAAATATTTTTGTTTTTATTTATACTCCTTTATATCTTATATGTTGCCTTCGCAGATTTCTTTATTGCTTTGCTATAATTCTGGACTTATTCGTCGAGCGAATCTTATGGGAAAAAAATTTTTGAATTTTTGAAATCTCATTATAAAAATTCCAGCTAGTAACAATTATTTTTTGAAGGATGTTAACTCGCAGTTATTGTAATTGTATTTCGTAATCAAGTATAATTATCTGGCTCAATCAGCTACTAAATGAAGCGCGAACAAAGCACGAAAAAGGAAGCATGTAAGCATTTTGAAGAAATTAGATTATTTTGTATAATATTTCTTTTTTTTTCTTCTTTGAACGCCATAATTATAAACATTATGTGTATTCTTGAGTGTGTTTCTTTCTCTTTCTTTCTGCTCTTCCTTCTCCCCCTTCCTTCTCTCTCTTTCTTTCCCTACTGCTAATAATCTTGATGACAATTCAATCGATAATTTAATTATACTTTCTCTGTAATAATCATTTATTTAAATTTTAATTAATTTGAGCGTTCACACGATATTTGTATTGATTCCGCAAATCAATATATTGTTCATTAAATCATTTTTTTATATCATTTATGTTACAATTTATGTTATTATGTTAATTTTAAAATTAATATAAATCGCATAGAACATAAAAATTTAAAGATAAAAGTTGAATTTTAAAATAATTGAGGTGATTGAAAAATACCTTGTTTTAATTATTACAAAATCTATTATAACGAAATTATGTTTGTTTTGATTAGATTGATTTATTAAATATTTGTATAATATTATGAAAAATATAAAATTAAAAACATAATCGAATATATTAAAACAAATATATATATATATATATTAAATATGGAAATATGAAGAAAGATAAAACGAGGAAATGAATTTTACTTTTTATTATTATAATTGATAATGAACAATATCAAATTATATTAAATATTAAATTTTAATCAAAAAATTTAAATTTTAAATTTTCTATCAATAATTTTTTACTTAATATCAAATATTAAATTGTATATGTATATAATTGTGTAATATACGTTATGTATATATATGTAAGTATATTTTATTATCATATATCTAAATAACTTACAAACGTTATACAATCTTTCTTGTATTTTTATCGTTCGAAATTAAATTTAAAAAAGAAATTAAATTAAAAAAATTAATACATATTATTGATACACATATATATATAAAATAAACGCTACATTTGGCATCCTAGTTGTATTCATGTTTATCATCTATTTATAATATTTCAACAATTGAATGTGATCGAAAAAACTGGCAACAAAAACGTCCATCTGGGAAAATTTTATTACAACTTACCATTGTTCCTGATTTGCATTTGTTATTATAATGAGAAATAATTGATATTACCCGTGTCGTTACGAATGTAACTACGACATAATCATGCCATCAAAAATGGATTAAAACAATTACCATTAAGAAAAACGAATCGGCTCGATTCGACAAAGTTTCAACTTTATAACTTTTTCGTTTTTCTTACTTTTATTTATTATCTTTTCTTACATTATTTTTGCGCATTTTCTTCTCATTTCCACGATTCAATTTCTACGATTTCAGATGCAAACTGTATTCCTGC